CGGCATCCAGATCTTTTTTCATGTCATTGAGGATGGAAAGGATCTTAAATCTGCTAGGGAGGGGAACAGAGGGTACAATGATGGTCTTTWGCCTTCGGGTGTACTCCTTTCTTAGATTTTTTAGGTTATCATCCGCGAGATCAATGTCCCCATTCCACACTCCCTTGACAGATTCTTGTACTGCTGCTTTCACATCGCACGCATCCACCTTCAACCAGAAGCGCCCTTTAGGATTTGTGTCATACAGTTGTTTTAAGGCTGAAATCTATGAAAAAAAATGTAATAAAACAAAATTTAGTGCATGCTTGCATAAATATCGTGATTAAATCATGTATAGACATGGTGATTCTACCTCCTCATTTGCATATTCGAGATCACGTGAGATAGCGCATGCGTACTGAAGATCATTCTGCGTACGTTTACTGAAGATCGCAATAGATGCATTTTGTCTAAATTGGGAAAATAAATATGTGTACTTATTTCCACCTTTCAGTATGTTAGCAAAAGCAATTCATAAGATTCAAGAAGACCAAGCTCAAGCCTTATTAATAGCACCACTATGGCRAACTCAAGTATGGTTTCCCAAGATAGGGCACATGTTAATCAAGCAACCTGTACTACTTCCAAGAGGCAAGTTTGTTCTTCAGCTACCACACAACAGCATAGAGAGATTATGTGCCCTCCCAGACATAATGCTGATAACCCAGCCCCTTTTTTTCATTTACATGGGCCTACTTTAAAGGATGATCTTCAGATGATCTCACATAATCTCTCTATGCTAGAATGAGGAGGTAGAATTCCAATCAAACTTCATCTTACAGGTAAGCCTTGTTTAATTTTTTCATTAAAGCAATTACTTCTCTAAAATGAAGTATAGCTCTGTTGATATCTCAGTAAAAATGCTAGCAAGAGAATATATGTCTACTAAATTGCAAAATACGGTGTTAATGCTGTAGTACGATTGGCTAAGCCTATGTACACATGATGTACACTGTACAAAGTTCATTGAACAATAAATGCCCTTATAATTACCCCTCCCCTGGAGTCTAGATTCGTATTAATGGCCGGCCATTAATGTTAACTTTTAAATTGAAATCAAAAACGTAAATATATTCCTTTCATGTGGGTAGGTGGTAAAATATAATAAAAGGCTAATATTATAGATGAACACTGCAATTAAACTAAAAAAAA